ATTGAGCAATTAGTTTAAAAATAAATGACACAAGTCTACTTTTATTCCAAAATTTCAAACCTTACTGGGATGTGATGTATATTCTTAAATATACACTTAATAGAAACACTTCAAAAGGCACTAAGACAGGCATCCAGGAATAGAATAGAGAGAATTATTGTTGCTTCTCCGTTTCCATTTCTTGATGATTCCATCTCTTTTCTCTTCAGCAGAATTCTTTATCTTGAATGTTAAACCAGACCCAAGATTTTATTTATACTCTTACTGCTTGTGCCTGTATGACTTAACAAACTATTGCTTGGTTTGGGGCTTGTTTGTGATGTTTCTAAACAAATAATAAAGGAATCAAAATATGTACATTGTTTTTTGGAATATTTAGATTTAACCATATTGATGTTTCTAATTGTAGTTTATTTTTGTTGGTATTTAATATTTCATCATGTGAATAAATTATGGATTATTTATCCAATGCATTGTTTTCTTTTAATTATTACTTCTATGAACTGTACTCTGAATCTCCATCTTAGTTTACATGTCTGAGATATCTTTTCTCTTTTTTAGGGACAAGCTTTGGAGTCAAATTTCTATGTGAGATTGTGACTAGTATGTTTTACTTTTAAGATAATGTGGAATTGTGTCACAAGCTAATTGCTGCTGTTAGGTGCCATTGAGTTGGTTCCAACTCATAGTGACATTATGCGTAACAGAAGGAAACACTGCCCAGTCAGTCCTGTGCCATCTGCATAATTGTTCCTATGCTTGAGGCCATTATTGCAGCTATGATGCCAATCCATCTTCTTGGGAGTCTACCTCGTTTTTTGCTGTCCCTCTACCAAACATGAAGTACTTTTCCAGGGACCGATCTCTCCTGACAATATGTTCAAAGTATTGCCAACAAAGTTTCTCCATCCTTACCTCCAAGGAGCAGTCTGGCCAAACTTCTTCCAAGACAGATTGGTTTGTCCTTTTGGCATGCCATGGTACTTCCAATATTCTTCTCCAGTAAAATGACTAGATCCTTCTTTGGTCTTCTTTATTCAATGTCCAACTTTCACATGTATGTGATACAGTTGAAAATACCATGTGTTGGGTCAGGTGTGACTTAGTCCTTAAAGTAACACCCTTGTTTTTCTATAGTCTCAAGAGGTTGTGTGCAGCAAACTCATAAAGCAGTGAAAAAGTGCATTTTGTAAATCTATGTGAATGTTATTGTTGCTCTCTCTTGAAAACAACATGGTGTTGACCAATATAAATGTTGCTAATCGAATTGTAAAATGGATTCATTTTGTATTTCTCTATTAATGCAACAAAGCATCTTTTAATACCTTTATCACTATTTCTCCTTTCTTTCCTGAAGATAGAAATTCAAATTCCACTGTAATTTTTCTATTAAGTGCTTATCATTCATTTTTGCTTATTAATTTGAGCAGCATATATAATTTTGTAAATTCCATCATGACTGTGTTGCAAATACCTCACCTCACTGTGTGGCTTGTCTTTAGCATTCTCAGGACATTTGGTAAGGCCAAAATTATCCATTTGAATGTAATTGAATATATCGATTTTTTTATTATTAATTTAAACTGTTTGTATCCATTTAGAAAACCTTCCTCAGTGGACACAAAAGGATATTATTTTAAATTTCTTTTCCAAAGTTTGAAACTTTGTCTTCCTAATTTGAATTTTTTAAAACACTTCCATTGGTATATAATTTGCTTATAATATAATTCAGTAGTTCAATCATATCAAGAATAGCTGTACCATCATCACCTCAATCAAGAACATCTTCTTATTTCTTGTACTCATCGCTGTGATCATTCCAGTGCCTGCCAACTTCCCCTGCCATTTCCCCAAGGAACCATTAGTCCAGTTAATGTGTCTATAGATTTACCTATAAGGAATTTCACATATAGAAAAACATTTTTAAACTAACAATAACAAAATAAAACTGATAAAACCTCAATTAAAAACAAAGCAGAAAATAATAGAAAATTAGAACAGACTTAACATGGATTAAAAGGGAGATTAGATGATAAAATGCTAAATCTAACCCTAACTGCATCTGCAGTAATCCACTTTCCAATGCACTCTGGATGATAACAAACTATTCACATCCCTGGTCTCCTTCATCAAAGTTGCTCTATCTTTTACTTCCTATAGAGGTAGAAAGTCAACATATTTTCCATGGGTAAGACATTTTTCCTACATGATTTTTAAAATAATTCTTCTTTTCTGCCCTTGTCACCAATGATTTTTCAAAGTTAAATGAGTTTCCGTGCCAACCTCTATTTCTGTATTGTCTATCGTGTTTTCATTTCTGGTTTATTTCTGTGTCAACACTTTGCAAATTTCCATGGTTTATGGTAAAATATGTTATCATTAAGAGCATATCTCTTTCTCTTCAGCAAATTCTTGTGAAGTCATCATTCTTTATTCCTCCACTTAGATTTTAAAATAAATTTGTTACATTTCTATGAAAAATACATTGGAAAATTTATTGGAGTTGATTTGAGTTCAAAAATAAGTCTGATGGTGGTACAGCTCTATGCTTGCCCAACTCTCATTCGTCTTAGGCGTTTCCCTCTGTGTTCTCTGAGCTTTAACCCTGCAACAATGGCCTCAAACATAGAAACAATTGTGGGGATGGATCAGGAATGTGCAGTTCCATCCTGCTGTACATAGGGGCGCTATGACTTAAAACTGACTGCATGGCACACGACAGCAACAATAACAAAACAACACTTATTTAGTACCTCACAGTTCTGGAGGCTGAAGTGTGAAATGAGCTTCAATGGGTCAAAAAATCTAAATCTTGGTGAGTATCTATGTTGCCTAGTAGGAGAATCTATTCCTTCTCTCTTTGAGATTCCAGTGGTAGCCGGCATACCATGGCTTGTGGATGCATTATTTTAAACTCTGCCTTTGTCATTATATTGCCTTCTCCTTTTTGGTCAAATCTCTCACTCCATGCTAAATTGGTATCTGTGAATGCGTTTAGGGCGAGCCAAGATAAACCAGGATAATTGCTCTAACTCCTTAATTTAATCATCTCTCCTAAATTCTTTGTTTCCACATTAAGCAACATTTACATATTCCAGGAGTTGGTCCCTGGATAGATACTGGGAAGCCATTAGTCAACCTACCACAGGGCTGTATGGGAACAATATGCACTGGTTTGAAGCCTTTTTATAGGATTTTTACATTTTAAGGTAGCTATTTTAAATGATAATGAAAAAAATGTCCTGACAGAAGAAATATCCTCATAAAGACAGAATTGACTGTGCATTGTGCCACAGTGTCTCACAGAATCAGCATGCCCTGGTCAGTACATTTAAGTTCAATCTCATAGATACTCATATATTAAACCTCTAATCCGCTACAGACAAAAAAGAAGACAGAGGTGCACATGCCCATGGGAGGTTTTAGTACAGAATTGAGTTCCCTCAAGATCAAAATTAAGTGCTTTAAGATTGTGTATTATAATAGCACAATGAACGAATTTTTGCTGTTTTGCTTACTGTTGACAGGTTTTTCATGTTTACATTTCATGGAGACATTTAGAACCATTGTGGCTATCTGCATAACCAGTGTGTATGAAGCACTTTTCCATTTTAAAACAAATATTGAAGATGTTTAATTATCACATATTTAATGTTTCTAACACTTTACAAACTAGTCTTTATTTTCCAGTTTATAAGATACCACATCTAAATAAATATTATCAGAAGGGTTGATTGAGATAGTCCCCTTGATAATATGATTTCCAGAAAGTGGAGAGTGTAAGAACTCTATTCAAAAGTGAGGAATGTACGAACTATGTCAAAAAGTGGGGGGTGTAAGAACTGAGCAAGAAATCTTGGTGATACAACTGTTAAGTGTGCACCTTCTGTGTTAGTCTGGGTACATTAGAGAAACAAATCCACAGAAACTCATATGTATAGAAGAGAGTTGTATATAAAGGGTAATTGCACATCAAGAAAACATCCTAACCCAGTGCTGCCCAAGCCCCTAAGTCCAACATTAGCCCACATGTCTAACACCAATCCACAAAGCCCTCCTCCATCTCACAAAACACACGCAATGATGCCGACTGCAGGAGGGAAGCCTAGTCAGTGGGCATGTAAGCATCTCAGCACTGGCAGTGGCTTCACATGGCTGCCCCAGCACCCAGGGCTGCATCAGGGTAGGTCCATGCAGCTTCTCCTTGGCGATGTTTTGCAGGGAACTGGCTAAGGCAGCTGCACCCTGGTTTGACCATCACAAAGCAAGAGACCTGAGAACTAGAAAGGCGGAGCTCACCAAGCCATTTATCTCTCTACCCTTCAATTAACCCCATGTGTTTATCAGCCAGGTTGGCACAAAAAACTTTAACTATATCACCTTTTTGCAGAGAGCTTGGTAGTTCAAACCCAGACCGTGGCTTCATGGATGAACCAACAGGTGATCTAGTGCAATAAAAATGACAGTATAGGAAGTCCTATATAAAAGTTCTCTGTCCTACATGGGGTTACTGTAGTACTTAATTGATTCAGCAACAGCAAGCAAGCCCAGGTACTAATGAGTCTATAGATAAAAATATTTCAATAACGCGTAAAATTAGCCAGGACTCTTGAAATGACCTAAAATATGGAAGGTGTACATTATGGGTAATGCATTATAACTATCAATAACACAAAGATTCTGCATTTCAATATAGTTGAACCCAAAACATAATTCATTTACATACATTTAACAAATATTTATTGAAAATAAATTATAAATCAGATACTCGTTTAGGTCCTAAGGATCATGTGGAAGAAAACAACAATCCATAAATCCACTGTCCCAGTTGTGGGAGGTAAATAATAAAAGACAGTGAATGAATCAACATAAAATAAGGGACTGTTGCTAAAGGCTGTGAAGAAGGATGCAGATGAGAAGAGACAGTGTATGTGGGAAAGGAAGAACAGCAGTTTTCTAAAGATGATGATCAAGGAATACCTCGATGGTAGGGCAGCATTTAGGAAGAAATCTTAGACTCCAGTGTAAGAGAACAACAAGTACAAAGGCCCTGTGGCAGGGCTACGCTTTGAGTTAAGAAATAAGAAGAAAACCAGTGTGCATGAAGTAGTCTGAAAGACTAAGAAAATGACCAGAGAAAACATAACTCAAATAAAGTCTGAATAAGTAAGCAGCATTCGTGATTTCAAAGCATTTGCAGATAGGACACAGGCAACATCATCAATGTTTTCAGGGTATCTTACACGTTGTTGTTGATGTCTCCAGCTGTCCTTGAGTTGACTTTTGACTCCAGATCCAATTCAACAGAGTATAATCGCTTTGTGGGGTTCAAGGCTACACTTTTTCCAGGAGCAGGTCGCCAGAACTTTCTCTCCCTAACTGAGTCACTAGGTGTATTCAGCCAGGTGCATAGCCCTTGTTCCCCACAACTCCTCAGAAAATTGGCAGTCAGGTACAAATAAGTAGAAAAACGCTCTTATTTTTCTTCTTTATTCTTTCTAATATGGCTATTTCATTATATTGAAAATTATGATGTGATCATGCTGTTTCTACAAATTGGCCCAGGTAAAACAGAAACATTAATTCATTACCAATAAACTTTATTTCCAATAAAAAACATGCCAACGCCCCCAAAAGCACCTACTGTCGTTGAAAATATATTTCAGTGTTACTTAGTTAGGACTCTTAAAACAGGTATTCAAGTGAATAAATATGATTACATGTAAATTTAAATCCTAGCACCAAAATCAATCGCTATAAAGTCATTTTATAAAAACTAGTTACATCCTATTTACCTCTGACAAATTTCCCATGGGAGCACCTGGGGCATGTACATGCCTTCCATGTACTGATTTGTTTATGCCCTTGTTTTACGTACATGTTTACATTCCAATGTGATAGTAAAATGCATGTGGAATGAGGGATTAAATCAAATGTCATTAATAAGGTTTGTGATGAAGGGAATTCCTTAATCTTTCCCTGAGAAATTCTCATTCAGACATTACATTGTGGGCATTATGTTTTCTTTTTTATAGACAACAGTCTTTTGATGAAGCAGCATTAAGGGTATCATCTCAGAAAATTAAGAGCAGGGTGAGCCTTCAAATGTGAGTCAGTGCATGGAGAAGATCCGAGATCAATCAAACCAGGTTGTATCGATCCCACACCACTAAAATTCCAGTCCCAGAGAAAATGTTGCCTTCTCAATCATCTTCTTAAATGCACCTTTGACCTCCATGTTCCTCAAGCTATAGATCACTGGGTTCAGCATGGGGATGACGATGGCATAGAACAGAGATGCCATTTTGTCTGTGTCCATGGAGTGACTGGAGCCGGGCTGTAGGTACATGAAGGTGACTGTCCTGTAGAAGATGGAGACTGCAGTGAGGTGGGATGCACAGGTGGATAAAGCTTTTTGGTGGCCCTGACTTGAATGCCTCTTCAAGATGGTAATAAATGTGAACAGGTAGGACATCAAGATAACCAGAAGGGCAAAAAAGATGTTGAAGGTTGACATAAAAATGAGGACCAGCTCACTAATGTGTTCATCAAAGCAAGAAAGAGCCATGACTGCTGGAACATCACAGAAAAAGTGCTGGATCTTGTTAGATCTGCATAAATACATACTGAAAATGTCCCCAACATGGATGCAGGCATTTAGAAAACCACAGACATAGGAGCCAATGGTCAGACGTGCATGTACACTGGTTGTCATGGTGGTGGTGTAGTGTAGGGGCCTACACACTGCTTCATAGTGGTCATAGGCCATGGAGGCCAAGAGGAAATTTTCCACAGTAGCAAAGCCTACAAAAAAGAACATTTGGGTGGCACACACGTTGTAGGAGATGACATTGTCTCTTACAAGGAACCCATTTATGGCCTTCGGAGTTACAGCAGAGGAATACACACAGTCCACTAGAGAGAGGTTACTGAGGAAAAGGTACATGGGAGTATGAAGACGAGAGTCCAAGAGAATCAGCCCAATCATTCCCAGGTTCCCAACCAGAGTGAAGAGGTAAATAATGGTGAACAAGATAGAGAGTGGGATCTGAAGTTCTGGGACATTGGTCAGACCCACTGGGATGAACTCAGTCACCTCAGTATGGTTCCCCATGGGATACATGACATGGCCTGTAGTAGTGAGAAATAAAGGAACAGTGGGTAAACAGAAAATATATTTCATTCAAATTTTTACATATATGTAACTGTATATATATATATATGTAATACTCCATTTTTCCTTGTTTCATTATGATAGTAGATTTTTCTTCATCATTCTCTAATCTAAAGTATGCATTTGGACAAAATATATTCTATATAGCTAATACACTGTGAAGTAGAAGATTCCTCACAAATCATATAGCTAACATCCCACTTGTGTAAATGAATAAACTAAGATATAAGAAGAAGATATACCTTAATCCTAGACATATATTTTCAGTAAATGCATCACCTAAATCAGATCACCTGAGTCTTTTAACAATCCAAGTTATTGTTCACATTTCAGATATTGCTCTGGTCCTTTTCCTTCTAAAATTTACCTATCTAATCTTTAACATCAGTAAGCTTTAAAAACTTTGTGGGAAAATCCCCTTATCTTTTCATTCCATTTTCCCATAAAGTTTTTGAAGCCCCCTCATACATTTACTTATACACACTCAATCCCTTTGGCACATCTATAAAAGGTAGATTATTTTGTGCAGATTTACATGAGTGTCAGAAGAGCTTAATAGATTGGTTACCATAACCTCTTAACAGAAATAGAATTCAATTTGCATTGAATTAGCATTTCATTTGAATTCACATTTCCTTATTGTGTGCCTCCTGTTATGTAAAGGCTGTATAGTAGGGTAACAGTACCTACAGGGTCAGGTACAACCAGCAAATACTCTTCTGTGATAGTCATTCACTGTTCTGGAAATGGGCGTGGCAACAATCAGGGTTTCAATAAGTTGGTGAGTGTCCTGTCTGGTATCCTCATCCATCAATTGGCCTTGCTTCACATGAGGTTCCCTTAGAACATTCCTCCTACCCTCCAGCGTTCCCAATTCTCTGCGAGTCTTTCCGTAAGAGAACAGCCTCTCTTTAGCTGAAACTTTCATTCAGATCCATATTTGAAGGAATTTCCAAATCTAAAATTACTTCTCAGCTGGAGCACAGACACCAGGATGGACAATTCGTGGGTCCACAATTTCACTGCAGATCTGTTTTTGTGGTAAGCGCCTTCTTTTTCTCATTTGAATTTGAAACCTTTGTCAGGTCACCACTCAACTGTCAGTTTGTCATACCGTGGTGGCTTGTGTGTTGCTGTGATGCTGGAAGCTCTGTCACCGGTGTTTCAAATGCAGCAGTGTCACCTAAAGGGAACAGGTTTCAGTGGAGCTTCCAGACTAAGAATGGACAACGAAGAAGGACTTACTGCAAGATCGTGCAGTATTCCGTTCTGTTGTGCATAGGGTCGCTATGGGTCGGAACCAACTAGATGGCGACTAACAACAATAACAACTGTTCTCTATCATTTTCCTCTTCTTTTGAGTCAGTTCTCCTAAATCAAAACTTCTGATGACATAATAACAGAACTTATACATTTCATAAGGAGTACTTATAGTGACGTATTAGTTAATTGCTGGGTTACTAATCAAAAGGTCAATAGTTCAAACCTACCAGCTTCTTCTCAGGAAAAAGCTGTGACCTTTTTGTTTTCTAGCAGCTTTTGAGGAGAAAGACAAGGTGTCTTCTTCACTAGAGATGCTATCCTAGGAAACCCAATAGGGCAATTCTACACTATGATGTGGAGTTCCTTATGAAATGAAAATCAACTATACTACACACAATGGCAGCAACAACAACATAACTTATAGAGTGCTCTAGAGGCATGTTTGCACAATGATGAATCCATGAGCTAATAAACAAAAACTCAGCTGCTAAAACCCACTGGTAACTTTCTGAAAGAAAAGATCAGACAGTCTGCTCCTATAAAAGTTACAAACTATAAAGCATGGAGACATTTTACTCTGTCATATAGGGTTAATTATGAGTCAGTATAGACTCAACAGTTCATAAGAATAATCGTACTATTAATAAGAGCATTATACACACAGCTATATCTCACATGAAAAGAGCCATGGAAGGAACCCTGCTGGTACAGTGGTTAAGCACTTGGCTACAAACCAAAAGGTTAGCAGTTCAAACCCACCAGCGGCCCCAGGGAACTACGATGAAGTAATCTGCTGCCGTCAATACTTCTGGGTAGAAAGTCTTATGGGGCAGTGCCACTCGGTCATACTGTATTACTGTAATGAGCCATGGCCCCACAGTGGGTTAAATATTGTTGCAAAGTGAAAGGCTGCCAGTCCAAGCACACTATGAATAAAAATGAGACTGTCTACTTTAAAGATTCACATTTTTGAAAACCCAGGGAGCATCTAGTTCTACTCTGTTCTTACAAGGTCTCAATGAGTCAAAATAAATGACAGTAAATCCGTTGTGTGGCAGGGACTGTTATTTGTGGAGGGGAGTTTTTGTGTGTGTATTTTAATTTTGGTTAATCTTCACTCACTAAAATCTTACAAGTAATATGTTTTACAGCTAAGAAATGTTTTACAGATAAGAAAACATAATTTGAAAGCTTTTGTTATTTCCTAAAATCTAATATGGAGTAGATTCATGGTTCAGAACTAATTCTCATAAGTTTCACAATTTCCCAACCATCATGTCATAACTGTGCTAAAAGTAATTATAAAAATAACAGATCTTCTAGAAGTAGGTAGAATGATGATATTAGAGTGTGAAGACTATTAAAGTGAAGTACGCATCCATATAATTTCAAAATTATCATTCTGGAGTCTAAAGAACTACCCATTCAAACTCACCCAACAGTGGCATGTCAATAGATAATGAACAAAATTAAATCATCACCCATTCAGTCACAACAACATCTACTATTTTGCCCATATTTAGGAAATAGCATAGTGTTTCATGAGTATCCCTGAAATTTCTCCTGGGGGAAACATTTTGTCATTGGGATGCTAGCCCAACAAAATAAACAGATAATCGTGGCATCATATTGTGAGCCCAACTAATAAAAGATAAAGATACCCTACTTCTTTGCATGTATTAACTATTCTTTTCACACAAAAATGAATATGGAATATATAAGCTTACCTTGAAATGCTTGAAAACTAAAAGTATTGGCAATTCTGAATGCTGAGTCTTAGATCTTTAATTCTACCAGAGAAAATGACAAAAATCCTATCAGAGAAGCTTTCTTGTCAATACTGCTCAGAAGTGTCCTTTGAATTACCATTTACGCTGTACCAAAGTCAGGTTCCTTATTTATGAAATAGATTAAATATGATTACCATTCCCATTTACTTCACAGAATTGTGGCTGTGAAGAGTAAATGAAGGAAGTTCTATAAAACAGCTCAGTAAAAATCATCATTTTAACCACATTCAATGTAGTATTTTATATTAAGGAGTTTTTCCTGACTGTGGTTTCTGGCTCAGAGCAAATCCCAGTTTTGAGGATATGGATGGCACTTGTACTTCATATGGAGAGGAGTAAATAAATGACCAGAAGGCCTTTGCACAGTCTGGAACCTCTACTATGATGCCAAGCAGGATCCCACTGGAAATTCAGAAGCTAATAAAAAGGGAACGAACAGAGAATTGCACAGGGGAGATCTCAGGGGAACAGACTCCCTACGAGGGCAACTACAGATCTTTTTACTGATACCTAAGGATGAGATCATTAAATTGCCTGGAGAAAACCTGTTTGATTTGTTGAATAAGCACATAGGTATATTTGCACTGTTTGTTGTCATTTCATTTATGATTGCTTTAATGTAAGCTTAATTTATATATCGTAAAATTTACATGTTTTAGTACACAGCTCAGAAAGTTAGAACAAACTGAAACAGTCATGTAAGTATCTCCATAATATGATAAAGAACAGTTCATTGGCTTCCAAAATTCCTCTGTGCAGGATATGAAGTACTATTACGATGATAGTATATAAACACAATGATCTAAGTCCGTCCGACTTTGATGAGTAGCAACTGGAGTCTTAAAAGCTCATGATCAGCCACCTAAAGTGGAACTATGATGGAAGAAGAGTGAAGAACATTGAAGATGCATGGGAGCAATTAGTCCAGTGGACTAAGGGACCATGCAAATATTAGTCTTCACAACTCTGAGACAAGTAAATCCAAAAGGTTCTTGGTTTAACACTACCAACTGATCTGGAAGGGTATCATATTAGATGGTCCTGGGTAGAATGGGAGAGTAATGTAGAACAAAATTGAAAAGCATAAAGAAGACCAGGCTTACTTATCAGGTAAATACTGGTGGATTGTGAACCTTAGT